TCTTTTTAAAAAATAGGTATAGGGGCGACCAAATAGGGCGCCCCGTGCAATTTTTACTTCCAGATGAGCTTATCCTCAGAGTTAGTAGAAAGATGGATGAATGTAGATTGGATAACATACTTAATTTCCCTGGGGAAGGGGTAGTGGATAGCATCAAAGTTCCATTCCCCATTGCTGAGGATGGTGTTTATCTTAATAGTCAGGTCATGGTTTTGCCAAGGCTCCTGGACGATTATGTTGAGGGGATGCATATTGGGAATCCAATTGTCAGATAGGAAATTGACTATGTCTCCTTTATGGACAACCCATCTAAAGGCCTTAAGACAGTAAATATGTTATCCCCTTTATGGACAACCTTCCATCCTTCCTGAATGCACTGCCAGGTCCTGATTTTAGGGTTAGCTCTAGGTTGGTTACCACTATAGTGTTTTCTAATCAGAACTTTAGCCCACATGGTGTCAATGTTGTTGTAGAGCCTCCAAGCTAGGCTGGTCAGGCTAGCTTTGTTTTTTATGTGGGCTTGCTGAATGCCCAGACCCCCATTGCTTTTAGGCTTTATAATGGTATCCCATTTAATCATGTGAAACTTTCTTTTTCAGCAGGTGTTCCCCATGTAAAGTCCCTTTGGATTTTATCAATCTGGTTGGAGATGTGCGATGGTAACTTTATATAGCTCAAGGATGTGGCTGGGAATGCTCCCAGGCTTGATTTTGCTAGAGTTGCACGACCATCCATGTTTAGCATTTTGGTTTTCCAACCAGCCAGCTTAGTGTTCATACCATCAAAAATGAACTGGAAGACTTTATTGGTAGGCCTTTTATGGAAGATGGAAAAGCCTAGATATTTACCAAAATCTCTGCTTTTCCTAATTCCTAACATTGAGCTGCAATATAACCTTAGATTTTTAAAGTTGGCCTTTTGGCATGACGCATTATTAAACTCATCTAAAGTTGCCAAGATTGTTTCACTGCTCTTTTTGTTGGCTCTACCAAACCGTGTAAGATCGTCAGCAAAAAAAAAGATGAGAGATTTTTGGGTCATTTCTACTGATAGTAATTGAAAACTAGTCTTTTCTTAGGACTGCCTGGTCAATATTCCTTGATAGCCTTTCCATGCAAATAATGAATAGGCAGAGAGAGATGAGGTTTCCCTGCCTGATGCCTCTAGTAGGGCGGAAAGGTTCAGTTTGGCTTCCATTGACCAGGATAGATATGGAAGTTGTGGAGATGCAAGAGAGGATCAGTTTGATTAGCTTAAGGGGGAAGTTGAAAAAAAATAGGGAGTCCTTAATGAAGGACCACTCAAGTTTGTCAAAGGTTTTTTCTAGGTCAATCTTGAGAATCATGTTGGTATTTTTCCTTTCATCTTTTGAAAATGAGTGATGTATTCCTGAAAAATTATGGCAATATCAGTAGCCCTTCTATTTGAGAGGAAACTAGCCTGAGATGGCCCAATAATAGTCAGAAGGATAGGCTTGATCTTGTTAACTATTTTTTTACAAGTTTGTACACTCTGTTGCACAGTCCAATAGGTCTACAGCTCTTTACAAGGATAGCATTCTGGCATTTAGGGATCAAGCAAAAGAGGGTCTTGTTAACTTCAGGGGGCATGGTTGAGGTATTAAACACTTTGTGGTAGAGCTGGTTGACATGGGTGGATAGGATAAACCAGTATTTTTGGTAGAAGAAAGGGGACAGCCCATCAGGCCCAGGTGCTTTAAGAGGATTAAAAGAGTTCATGGCTATTTTAATCTCAGAGATCCTAAGTGGTTGGTCCAAGGACACCCTCATGCTATCAGTAAGGACTAGTGGGACTGTTCTCACTGTGACCTCTCTTGTAGGTGGATGAGGTATGGGATGTGATAAAGAGGTTCTTAAAAAAATCCCTAGTAGTCTCCTTGATTAGCTTAGGGTCTATGATATGGTTCCCACAAGGGTCGCTTTCACTCTTATTGACACTGCCGAGTTCCCTAAGCTTGGAGATGAGGGATCTTAGAGATTTAGTTGGCAGCTTACTAGCTTTCTGGGGCAGAGAGCAATAAGCATTTCTCCGAACAACTCTTTGAACTCGATCACCTGGGTTTCTTGCATGAGGAGGACTGTTAACTTTGGGACTCCTAGCTTTTCCAATGTGCTTTCCAGGTTTGCGTTGGACTCTTTGAGGTAGACTAGGGTTTGGTTCGTCTCCTTTATTAGCATGTCCATGGCTGCAAACTGATTTGTTGGTGGGAGAGTGGGTTGGTTCACTTGTGGCCACATGGCGAAGGCCGGTGATAGGAGAGGAAAGTTCAGGTCCATTAATAGAAATAAGGGCATTATTTGGCAGAGTTTCCCCATGAGAGAGTTGAGCTCCTCCATTGATAGGGGTTGTTGTGTGTCCATGTACTGGGCTTGGAGGAGGGTGGATAGCCATAGCTGATGTCCAATAATTGGACAAACCCTAGTGGAGAAGGTAGGTTGCTAGCTGTGCCAGGTAGCGTAGGTCTTGGATGGTGATGGAGATCGGTACTAGTCCCACCATCATTTGCAAGTTTTAGGAGTGTACTTGTAGGGCCATCTCCATCCACGACTCCGGCATCAAGTCTGGTGGTAGTAGAAGGGTGGACATTGTGAGGGGTGTTTGCTTGGTGGGGAGTTGGGATTGTTTGGAGTCGCCATTGAGAGATGATTTTTGGGACGGATCACTGGTTAAGCTTAGAATCGGAGGCATATATTCAGTTGCCTAGATATAATCCGTTTGAAGGCTGTTAGAATTCATGCTGTGTCGATTGAGATCTTTGCTCAATCTTGAGGGATTGACACTCAGTGTCACTTCACTGCTGAGAAGGTGAGTTTGATTTTTCCAAGGCACTTGATTTCCTCTATTGAGAGGGGTGCAGTCAGGATGGGTATGTTCATTGTTTGAGTGTGGGTTTGGGATAGGGAATGGTTAGGTTGTTGGGTTGGGTGGGTGGCCCACTGTAGCATATTTAATATGTGTCTTGTTTGTCATGGTATAATTACCCAAATTTGGGTAAGTATCAAATGCTGAGATACTACTCGATTTGGGCTCCATCCTTTCCCTCTGTTCCTGACACGCTTCCGTAATCCCAAGAAAGGGATCTTTTGTCAATGGGTCGAAGGCATCCAATTGCCTTTTTAACCCAGAGAATCATTTGTTTGGGCTAGCGTGTGCTTTGCCCGTAGAGCTGGTAGGAGACGGGCCAAGGTGCCCCAGGCCCAATTTTTATTCCCCATGTAATCCATTTTTGATAGTGTGTAAAGGTTGTTCATTAAGCCTCATGACATATATAGCCTACTTTTGTTTTGGATTTCGATTGCCGGAATCTATTTCCGATTTTGGTGTGGGATCAAGGAACGTACCTGAGGAGGCATTGAACCTCTTACCTAGGTGTTGACTTGAGTGACCTTATTTGTATGGCGTCTGTGTTTTGAAAAAGGAATAGTGCGCCATTCGGAGATCTGTTCCTTTGTGGTGCCTTCACTGTTGGTGTCGCCGATATGTTTTCTTTGGGTGACGGGTGTTAGGAACTCGCAGCTTCTCAGGGTATGGCCAATTCTCTCACATCCCGTAGAAAGAATCCCTTCCCTTTCGTAAACGAGCACTTGGTTGTGTATGCCAATAGTGATGTTCGTTGTTACCGAAATGTCCAGAGGAACCTAGACACTTATTCTTGCGTATCTTCCTCTTAGGATAAAAGAGGTGCAAGTATCAATTTTCAGAAGCTTTCCCACTCTGTTGCCCACTTGTTCTAAAATTGCCGTGTCATAAAATTCCATTGGCAATTGTGGGAGTCTTATCCATACCGCCATTGTGGCAAGTTTAGATTCTACCGGAATAAAATTTGGTTCCCATCTGCGGATTGATAGGAAATTCTATGCCGCAAACCATGGCCCCTCACTTAGGATTTTGCTCATACTTCCCTCTTTGTTAAATTTGGCGATGAAGAAGTCCCATCCTAGGTTGATTAGGGTGAGGGGTTCATCTGGTTTTCATAGATTGGAGAATTTGGCCTTGAGTAAATGGTGTGGGATTTTCCCCCAAATAGTTTAATAATCAAGGAGTATTTCCACGATTTGTATAGCCTGATTTTGTCCCCATCTGACAATGGGATTGGAATGTTTCCTGAATTTAATTCAAAGGCCTGTGTGTGAACACTGGATTGGAATTTCTATCTGCTTTGTCTTCGTCCATAGCAGAGTTTGGATCTAAAAGTGGTATATCGGGGGTTTTCGATGGTTTTCTAACAGGGGTCACTAGTGGGGATGTGGCCATACCTAGTTGGCTGGAGGTTAGTACCTAGTTGGAGAGAGGTTGGTCTTTCTCTCTCCGGAAAGCTCAAAGAAGCTCATTATGTTGTATTGTTATTGCTCAAAAGCGTTTCATCTTGGTCAAACTCAAACATCTCAAATTTTAAACACAAAAAGTACTTTAGCCTCCCAAACATTGGCCAAACAGGCTCTTACTAGTTACTCCCTCCGATCTATCTTAATTAATTTTTAGTCCTTTTTTATAATTCATAATATTTTTTTAAAATATTCGAAGTTGTCTTTGAAGTAAAGAGCTCAGAAGTATTTATTATATTTTTAATAAATAATTTAAGATTAATATGGTCAATTTTATTATTAATTAATATTAAAAGGTGAATTTCTTAATATGTGTGAAAATAATTTAAAAAATTAATTAAAATCAACCGGAGGTAGTACTGTCCCCGTTTGACCATGAAATTTTTTTCACTTTTTTTCGAAAATAGTGTTTGACCATAAAATTTTTAATTTTCACTTGACGATAAATTTTGGAATTTTTCAAAAATTTAAAAACTTCAAAAAGTTATTTTTCAAAATTTTCACACTCAAGCCACTTAAAAAATTTTAAAATAATCCAAAATTATATTCATGTCCAAACACAATTCTAATTTTCAAATACCATTTTCACTATTTTCCAAAATTTATTTATTCTTATGGCCAAACGCCCACTAACTTAATCTCTTTTGAAAACACCGAGGTCAAGTGTTTCTCCACAAGGCATTCTCTCTCTACACACTCTCTTTCACACAGAAGAGACCACACTACACAACGCGCTTATTCACCCAACTTTCTCTCCTTCTTCTTCTCTCTCCATTGCCATTTATCTCCCTTGTTTTTCTGAGCTGAAGTGCTGAACTACTTCTCTCTATAACTTGTGTTTCTCGCCAGAAACTTTCTGAAAAAAAAATTGCCACTAGGAAAATGGATACAGCAAAATATACACCCATTAATGGTGGAAAAACTCTCTTTACAGACCTGAAAGCTCACTTCTCTTTTCTGAAAACCAAAAGAACTGTTACTTGTGCATATGGGTTCATGTTTGTATTCGTTGCTGTTACATTTTTCTTGGCTTTTAGTCCTTCCCCTAACTCTTCTTCTCCTTGGTTCACAAACATTTTCTCTTTAAGCAGTAGCACTAGTACTAGTGGAACTATTTCTACAACATCAGCTCCGATTTCCTCTGATCAATCTTATGGATCTCACTTTTCTTCAGTTTACTCTTACTTTTTTCCCAACTCTTCACAGCAAGTTCAAAACTTTACTACTCCCAGATCCCAAAACTCAACATTTGAGCCTCCCAATTTGCAAAAAGAATTGGGTATTGGGAAAAATGTGACTTCAAATAATGACTCACATGATAAAGTTGAAGTCTTGAAAAACCCCTTGAAGCCTTCTGTGAATGTGACAGCTCAAAAATCTTCTTCTGGGTCGAATCAAGAATCATCAAGTGTAAAGAATCAGTCCCAAAGTAAAGATTTTGATGATAAAGTTGGAGTATTGAAGGCAAATCAGAGCTCAAATTCAGCACCAAAATCTTCTTCTGGAACTAATAAAGAATCATCAAGCCCAAAGAAGCAGACCCAAAGTAAAGATTTTGATGATAAAGTTGGAGTCTTGAAGGCAAATCAGAGCTCAAATTCAGCACCAAAATCTTCTTCTGGAACTAATAAAGAATCATCAAGCGCAAAGAATCAGCCCCAAAGTAAAGATTTTGATGATAAAGTTGGAGTCTTGAAGGCAAATCAGACAACAAATTCAGCACCAAAATCTGCTAATGGGAGTAAAGAGAAAGAAATTGAGGGAGTGAAGAGTAATTTCACATCCTCGTTTGTGAAAAAACAGAGTAATGGGACTAACTTAGATGTGTCGGCGAAGAAGAAGGATGAAGATGTGGTTAAGTCTTTGTTGGATTGTGATTTCTTTGATGGGAATTGGGTGAAAGATGAGTCTTACCCTTTGTATAAACCTGGTTCTTGTTCTCTTATTGATGAGCAATTCAACTGTTTTCTCAATGGTAGACCTGATAGTAATTACATTAAAATGAAATGGAAGCCCAATGCCTGTACTCTTCCAAGGTAAGATTTTACTGTTTATGCTCAACCTAATTCTTGTTTAAATATTTTTATCTGATCTATGAACTCCAAATTAGATCGACCCCAACTAGTTTGGAACTAAAGCGTTGTTGTTGTTGCTGTTGATGAACTCCAAATTATAGGCTTCAAGGATCCTATGCTTCTTTAGTTTTCCATTTCTAAAGATGTTTCATGCTTATGGAATATGGCATTTTCCATTTTCGATTATTATCTGTTAGATTTGATTTCGGTTACTAGTTAAACCATGATTTCTTTATCTGAAAGTTGTTCTTTTTCTTCAATTATGTACTGAACAGATCTCAGATTAGTCAAATTGGTATTTACTTCCATATTTAAGTATCCTTACAGTTGATTTTTTTGACAGATTGAATGGCACTCATATGCTGGAATTATTGAGAGGAAAAAAATTAGTATTTGTTGGTGATTCACTCAATAGGAACATGTGGGAATCACTTGTTTGCATACTTAGAAACTCTGTAAAAGATCAGAAGAAGGTTTATGAAGAATTTGGGAGACACCATTTTAGGACAGAAGCTTCCTATTCATTTCTATTCGAAGTAAGATATTCATTTCTGCTGTTAAACATCATCATTATATGTTCATAAAAAATAAAAATAAAAAAGCAGCCCGGTGCACTAAGCTTCCGCTATGCGCGGGGCCCGGGGAAGAGCCGGACCACAAGGTTCTATCGTACGCAGCCTTACCTTGCATTTCTGCAAGAGGCTGTTTTCACGGCTCGAACCCGTGACCTCCTGATCACATGGCAGCAACTTTACCAGTTACGCCAAGGCTACCTTCCATCATTATATGTTCCTATTCTTATGAATTGTTTCTTAAATATTCAGGAGTACAATTGCAGAGTGGAGTTCTTTGTATCTCCTTTCTTGGTTCAAGAATGGGAATTTGCAGATAAAAAAGGAGTGAAGAAGGAAACTCTTAGACTTGATTTAATTGGACAGTCTGCTGATAAATATAAAAATGCAGATATATTAATCTTCAACACCGGCCACTGGTGGACTCACGAGAAGACTTCCTTGGGGTAAAATTTATTGAGTTTTCAACATATATGGTCTGTTTGTTATGCTTAAAATAATTAAAACAATGTTGCATGTTACAGGAAGGACTATTATCAAGAAGGAAGTCACGTGTACAGCGAATTAGATGTCCTTGAGGCATTTCGAAAAGCTTTAACAACATGGGGAAGATGGATTGATTCCCATGTAAATCCCCACAAGACATTTGTTCTCTTTAGAGGTTATTCTGCATCTCATTTTAGGTAATTATAACCTTGAAACACACCATATTACATTTACTTGTCAATAGTTCCAACTTCTTTTCTCTGTAGCTGTATCATTATATTTATATATCTGGTTACCATTTAACTATCCACTATAATAAAAAAGTTACAAAACTATTCTTTGTCACGTTAAAGTAACTAACTGAACTATGAAAAAATTGCACCAAAACTTTTGCTTAAACCATGTATTTTTTTTGACAGTGGTGGACAGTGGAATTCTGGTGGAGCTTGTGACCATGAAACAGAACCAATCAAGAACAACACATATCTTACTCCTTATCCATCTAAGATGAATGTATTGGAGAGAGTCTTGAGAGGAATGAAAACTCAAGTCTCCTATCTGAATGTCACAAGAATGACAGATTATAGAAAAGATGGTCACCCATCAATATATAGGAAACAAAAATTGACCAATGAGGAGAAAAAATCTGAATTGTTGTTCCAAGATTGCAGCCATTGGTGCCTCCCTGGTGTACCTGATGCTTGGAATGAGCTTCTATATGCCAAACTTTTAGTAAATCAACACATGAAAAAACAAGATGACAAAAAGACATAGAGGGGTGGGCTCATTATTCATCGAGTGAGTTTCGAACTGTGCGGGCTCATTATTCATCGAGTGAGTTTCGAACTGTGCGTTATTGACCCTCGATGATTTCTCGGTTATGATACCCAAAAAAAAAAGGGTAACAAGCACTTGGAGAAAGATTATGTTCATAATGTAAACTATATATGCGAGATTAGAGAAGTTTTCTTTAGGAGAGATATGTGAACTTAGAGTAATTTATTTTATGTGTATTTATAAGAGGAAAGTGACAAAGAGATTTTGACTGTTTACTTATAATCAAACAGTTGTAAGTCTCTGTCACTTGCTCCTATATTTTACTGAGTCTTGAGGGCTCGACACTGTAAATTTCATAATTATTTACACTATTTATTTTAAATTTATTAATGAATCATACGTTTAATTATGTTTGTTGGATCAGGGGTTTTGTATACATCATTAGTCAAAGATGTAGTCCAGGTTTTTTTGTTCAATTGTTATACAAAATTGTTGTTTGGCACACAGCATTTTCTTAATTCTTGTGCGCACTTAGGGGATCTAAGTATATATTAATCACGACATCTCTGCTTGGCTATGATTATAGTTGTTTGATGCTTTTGATTAGAGCTTGTCGTCTTGGGGACTGCATAGAGAAGTAATTAAGTATTGTTGGTATTTTAATCCTATTATTTTTCCTCTTCACATGGGGTGTTCTCAATGTTTTAAGTATTCTAATTGCCTGTGCATTTGAGTTACCTTAACAATATAAAGGGTAGACAGTTGCGCTATGTGCGGGGTTCGGAAAAAAGCCGGACCACAAGGGTCTATGTAATACAGTCTTATTCTATATTTCTGCCAGAGGCTATTTCAACATCTTGAGTTACATTAACAATATTTTTATATTATCGTACAATTTAATTAGTTGACATGTGCGGAAACTGATCCGAATATCATCGTTATTAAAAGAACAATATTTGCATGGAGCGTGTCATCAAATTGAGACCATTGTGTCTTAGTTTAAGAGTTGTATTATGATGAATTTGAAATACCTGAGCTGGGAACATGATACTGACAAGTGACTGAAGTTCTGAAGATTTTAAAGTATGTACTATTTAGGTTCTTGGATCTTAAGCAAACATTTTCCCACCCTTCTGTTTTCACATGATTCTAGACGGTGCAGGAAAGCTCCACCAATCATGTTTAGTTATCAATTCTTAATTGGCATTTATCCGTGAAAATATAAAAATTTACAGGACACCTCGCCCCCATTTAACATGTATTTACTTTAAAAAAATTAATTAGTACCCAAAGTATAGATAACTTAAGATGATTTAGAGTTTATATGATATCTGGAGGTTATGTTTTAAATTTGAGATATTTTTGAATAGATTTAGGTGTTGAATCGTGTATTGCATTGCTGAAATTCGAAAAACAAATTTCCGTTTCTCGACAACTTGCACTTTAGACCTATTTGACTTTATGTAATAAAAATATTGATTGCACTTCAGACCTATTTGGCCTTAAGTGCATCTTAAGTATAACTTTTGCACTGTAGATTTAATTGACCTTAAGTGCATTGCACTTCTAACCTTTTTTTCCCCGCAACTTCAGACTAAAGTTGATCCTAAAGTGGATAGAATTGCAAATTTTTGTGCAAAGTGGATATAAAATTACACGGGGCGTCCTATTTGGTCGCCTCCATTTAACCTATACCCATTTTTTTAACTTGTACCCACTTTTTAAACAACTTCAGCCCCCTTTCTCCTCCTTCTCCTCCTCAAAGTTTTATCTTTTCTTTTTCCAGAAGTAAGGTTCATCCCTATCTGCTTCTTCTTATTTCTCCGGTGAGTCTTATAAATTTTCAATCATTTTTTCCTTTTCGCCGACACCCTCAGCTGTAAAGGTTCTATCTTGGTTTTGTAACTTGAATCTTATGCACCTTGTGGATGAAAATGAAGTGAGTAGGAAGAGAATAGGAATATCAACTGTTAGCACTAACAAAAATGAACTCTTGTTGTGCAGAATCTATTGGAATGAGGACTGGAGATGATTCTGAGCCACTTGGTGTGAAACGGTTCTATGTTGTTGGACTGCTTGAGATAAGCATATAAAGAAGAGAAGTTTCAAAGCTGCCTGTCGTACTTCAGCAAATAGTAGCAAATAAAATTAAAGCCACAACTTTAAGTTACTTCGTGTGGGTAGTTACAAAATAAAAACTTCGCCAGTTACAAAAACAAAAACTTCAGCTTTAGAGCCGAAGTTCGTCAGTTACAAAACAAAAACTTCAGCTCTAGAGCTGAAGTTAGCCAGTTACAAAAACAAAAACTTCAGTAATTACAAACAAAAACTTAAGCAAATAGAGAACAAAACTTCAGCTACTATGCTTAAGTTCAACAATTACAAACAAAAACTTCAGCACAATTGATTTACTAGAATGCTGAAGTTTTGCGTGATTGCCTTTGCTACTTCAGCCCCGTATGCTGAAGTTACGCGAAAAAGTGGTTACGCTTGCAATTTTTTTTGCAAAGCGGGCCCAAGTTAAAACGTGACCCAAAAAGCGGGTATAGATGCAAATGCATTCAATGGTGACTCCAAAATTGAGTATAAAAGCAAATGGCCCGCAGGAGCAACGTGGTCCGTGATGGTACTGCAGTCAAAGGCGGAGCCACGATTTGAGGTTTATGGGTTATCGCATCTTATGTGTTTAAGTTAGTGAGTTCTAAATTAATAAATCGTACATATTCGATGAATTTCTTAAAACGAATACATGGTTTGAACAAAATCTACTGAATTCGGCCAAATCCGTAAATCGTGTTCTAGCTCCACCCCTGATTGCAGTTTGTTTTCTATCTTTTCTAATTTCTTTTAATTAACCATTTTCAGAATTTACTTACCTGATTATTCGGGGTTTCGCGCCGCGTAGAATTCATTGAAGAGGTAGCGGGACTTCTCATTTTAAGGACCCGGATCCAAAAACCAAAATCTTTGATTAAGTACGAAGAGATGTCGTCCCACCAAGCCCGTCGGTGACACATTTTCTATTTTTGAAAATTTGGAAGTTGTTAAGGAGAAACACTGAAATACTTTTTCATGCTCGTGTTTAGGGGTGTACAAAGGAAACCGACAAACCGTACCAACCCGATAATCCGAGTCAAATCGAGAAAAAAAACCCGATTATGGTTTGGTTTGATTTGGTTTGGTGTTGGAAAAAAAATCGACCATAATTGGTTTGGTTTGGTTTTAACTAAAGAAAGTCAAACCGAAACCAAACCAACCCGATAGTACATTTATATAATTTTTAAAAATACTTTATACATATAAATATTTATTGTAATGTAATTTATAAATATTTCTTAAACTTTTTCATAGTTTTATCTTTTGATGTATTATTTCAAGTTTAGACTTAACATTCTTGAATGACAAATAAATTTAATAGCCCATAAATATAGTAACTCAAATAAAGTTCAAATCAATAGTAATGCTAACAAAAGAAATTCAATTCAATACTAGGAATGACGAAAGTGTTGGATAATTATTTTAGTTTTACATTGGTTTATAATAAAAATGCATAACTTTGTTTATCTTTTTCTCTAGTGCTTAGTTATATAATTAATATTAATACTTATTAGCTATACTTATTTTAGCATGACCTATATAGTATTTTTTTAGTTATGTTAATTTTTATTATGGCTTATTAAGTGGCAATATTTGTTTTATATAATTTTATTATTTTATCTTTGTTATTGAATATTTTAGTATAATGCTATGACTTATCTCATATTATTGTGTTAGTTTCTAGGAAAATATAGTATATAGTTGTTTTNTTTTTAATTAGCAATACTTAAATTACATAATTTTATTGTCTTTATTGTTAAATATTTTAGGATAATGCCATGACATATCTCATATTTTGTATTATTTTCTTGGAAAATACTTTATATAGTTGTATCTTACTAGGACTAAAGAAATATTTTGAGCACAATTTATTTGTTTTGTTCTACGAAGGTTTTACCGGGAAAAAAAATCCGAAAAACCCGAATAACCCGAGAAAACCCGAAAAAAATCGAGAGTGAAAAATCCGAGTTTTATTGGTTTGGTTTTTAGGTTTAATAACCCGACACAATTGGTTTGGTTTGATAATTGTAAAATTCAAACCAACCCGATGTACACCCCTACTCGTGTTTATGGACGAATGGGGTTTGAGAGAGTGACCCTTGCAATTGAAATAGAGCCATTTATGGTTGTCTTCAATAATTTTAGAAAGAGAGGTCTAATGGCCCATTTTGAATTGATTAGTTAATAAGGGATCTAGCAATTTAATGTGGTTAATTGGTCATGAATCTAACTTAGATTATGTATCTATCAAATATCTCCTCTCTCTATATTTTGCTGGACCAAAATTACACTACGAAATAAAACAGAAGACAGAGACTTCCTGTAAAAGAAGTTATATTGAACAATGACCCGTCCTTTTATGGATAATCAACTCTTGAATCTTATCTTAGAGTAGATTAGATATAAGCCTATTCATTATTTTTTTTTTAAAAGAAAAAGAAAAAAGAACAACATGATATGCCCATTCAAAAGGGGTAGCCTATAGCTCTAGGCACACTGGCTAGTGGATTTGCTTTAAAAAAAAAAAAAAAAAAAAAAAAAAAAAAAAAAAAAAAAGAGGAGTGGCCTAGAGGTCAAAGAAGGCAGGTAAAATTTCCAGAAACCAATATTCAGATCTTAGTGAAGACAACCAGATGAGTTCTTCTCATCTGCTTTGATCCAGTAGGGAAAATTATCCTATATTGTGCTAGTTGAACATAACATGTACTAATTTGAGATACATACAAGTCACTTCAGACACCACCATTCTTTGATGGAACTTAAAAATGAGGATCAATGTCCCACGTAACAAATATCTGGAATGAGAACCACTTATATTGGAAGATCTCATCAAGTTCACAAGCTAATACCATTTAGTTCAGGACTAAAGAATTTTTTGGGTAAATGAACAACAATCACACAGAGATAGAAACATCAAGAATAATTTTATTAGTACTCACAAATCAGATGTAAGCCAAGGATCTATTGGAAACAACCTCTCTACCTTCACTAGGTATGGGTAAGATCTACGTACGCACTACCCTCCCCCGCCCCACTTATGGGAATATATTGGGTTTGTTGTTGTTGTTAAAGATCAAATGTCTAGAAATGCACCTTCTTAACCACATGAATTAAAGCTTCTAAGATGTTTTTTTCTCAATTCAAGCAAAGCTTAAGAAACAAATTACGCAGAGCTTCATGTAAGCATTTGAGATCAACAAAAGAGTATGAAAGTTGAAACAAAACAAAGATTTAAGGCATAGAAAATGGTATTCTGCAAACAACTTAATCAAGAATGCAAGATAGCCGAGACAACGTTTGAAACAAAGAAGT